GAACTCCCCGAATGATAAATGGTTAATGAATGACGGATGACTTCCTGATGTAATCAATTGAAGCCAATCTAGATGAATAGGAAGGACACTCTCGATACGAAGGCTTGCCAGATTCTATCTAATGGCTTCCCTTTCTCTTTCTTATCGCATGGTCACATCCATGGGGCCCACAAGTCAGTTAAAGAGAAGATATTATCAATAAAGAACACTAGTGAAACAGGTTCGGCATGGGAGGGGCATTTTGCACTTTGGCTTGTTCACTTGGTTAGTTCATGTTAAGGAACAAGCCTTATTTCGGTGTGACCTGTAAACTCTTGTGAAGCTGCGAAAGGGTACATGCGAAAAAATCATGGTTACTAAAGTCAATGGATTTTCACAATGTGGCTTGTACAGCTTCCGCTGAGTATTAGAGCGTCACTGATTGCCCCCTTCCCCTCCCCCGCCCCCACCTATACCCTCCTTGGCTGAACTGCGCCCTCAACCGCAAGTCATGCATATACCTGCCTTATTTCTTATTTGGAGCTATTAGAATGGTTCTGCGCCCCTGTTCAGCCCTGACAGTTCACCCGCATTGAACGAGCTGGCGCATTCATTACTTGATACATAATTCTAATCAACTTTATGTAGATGAAGCCCAGCTAAATCATTCTTCTCGGAATGTTTACAACAGTGAACAAAGGACTACCACTACGCAGTGTCTCGCCGCATGTAAACCATCATAGACTTCTCGGTCACAAAACATCTGTAATCTCTTAGGCGGATTCCTTGGACGTCCGTCATGCCCATCAACACGCATTAATTCAGTGGTTCGTCCTTTACGGGGCAGAGAACGTGAGATAATTGCCGAGTGACCAAAGTTCAAATGTTCTCCATTACTTCCTCCGGCGGGATCTCATGAGAAAGAGTAATGGAAATCATAATGTGAAATTTGATTCATCGCTATGGGCACTTAGGAAGTGGGAAAAAACAGGAAATCAAGGAGGAACTGGCACGAGCCAGCCATTAACGGTGTCTCGACAGCGGGCTGCGTTTTGACAGCTCACAACATAACTTGAACTCGTACCTTATCACAATTGCGAGAGATTTCTAGGAAAACATGTCGATCAATAAAGACTAACCGATCAATAATATCCGTCCTTGTGTCGTGATCAATATTGATGGCAAGTGGACTTTCGGAAGCGATGAACGTCTCGAACATCTCAAGTACAGTCCGTTCGAATTCGGCTCGTGAGTCGGATGCACTGACCACCTTCAGCTCTTCGACAGCCCACCTGAATGTGAGAGGCGACGATTACGGTATTCGAAATTCCCTTACAACTTTTTGGATACTGTGCAAGTAAAAAAGGATTTTGAAAAATCCTGAGCGCTCTCTGCCCCTGCAGGGGTCCTTAGGTGGGGGAGGGGGGAGGGAATCCTGTGAGAGGCTATCATGTTCTGACGTTGACTAAGCCTTGTTAAATATCACAGTTGCGGTGAGATGGTGCAGACGAGATATGGCTCATTCTCAGGACATCTGTCAAGGAAGCCTCCCTCCTCTTCCACTTTTCTTCCTCATTCCTTCTTTTCCTTCCTCCCTTCCTTCTCTCTTCAATCTTCCTTATTTCCAGAAGGTGAGATGGGAAATACCTCTGAATCCTCGCAGAAAAAGAAGATTGACAGAAGCATTGTGTCCCACACGGCTCAGCCCCTTCCTAGGCTTATAGTTGCACTAGTTGGGCAGAATTACTGAAATCATCCGAGCTGAACTAGCTATAACGGGCTTGTAATCACCCAGACAGGATTTGTAACGATTTATCGCGCTTCAGAGATTATTTCCAAGAACCTATCGCATTTTTGATTTCCGATATAGAGACA